TTAGGAATCTGTGATGTGGTAGAAGTCTACATACTTACTGTAGTTTCTAGTGTTAGGAATCTGTGATGTGGTAGAAGTCTACATACTTACACTAACTTCCAGAGGAATCTGTGATGTGGTAGAAGCCTGTGTTTTCAATGTAGGATATGGTTTGACTTCAACGTTCTTCATGACGTTTCTGGAAGGCCCTGAAATTGTTTGATAGGTTATTAGAAAATATGTATTGTACAGTTTAAAAACCTTGAATTAAACACACTGCTCTTGTGCGATTAAATATTTCAATATGATTATTCCAATGAATATTTCTATGACATTAAACATGATTATTAAAAAAAAATTCATCAAAGATATGTGGCTCCCCCCCTTACCACCTCAAACATCAACACAACTACTACCTACGATGTGATATCACAATGATGTACTATCACTTTATGTTACTGTAGTCAACTCTGCCTATCGAGATCTCACTATTCATTCGCTTTCATTTTGTCTTCCTCTGATGCCTTGCAGCATTGAGGAGAGACACAGTGAATGGTGTTTTGCTTGCTTGTTCACCTCCTGTGTCATCATGTTCCCAATGGTGACACCTTCAAGTCATCATCTGTTTGGTTGTTCTTTACCTTTCTAGTGAATGCTCTGTGTGGCAAAACAATTTTGATGTTGTCTAATTAGGTGTTTGACCTATTTGACTTGTTGCCACTTGATGTACGACAAGGCTGGTTTGGTTTTCATCTTCAATGTTATGCTCTTGTTACATATTTTGTCTCTAATAGTAATACCAACAATTTTTCTGAAGAATCTCATTTTGTTGTTGGTATCAAGGTGGTGTTGTAGAGAGTTCTTTTTTTTTCAGGAGATATCTCTGTTAATGAATTTATTAAACATTTTTACCCTTACCAAATATCTAAGAAAAGATCATATTTGAGGCCACTAGAATGTTAGAAATCACTAGGAACAGAAATGGCTTCCAAAGACTAGGGAAAAATTAAGGATAGCCTAACTAACCTATGCACAGTTGTGTTCTGAGTTGAGTGAAGAGCTATCGAGTAGAAACTTCAAATACAGTGGAAAACATAGAGACATTTGTTTGGAAAATTATATAAGCCAAAGCTACTGACAGAGAAATAGTAAAGTGTTTGATAACATGTTCCATAAAGGGAGTAGCTGGAATTACACTATGCTGTTTCTACTTCTGATGTTCTACAGTTCACTTAGGAATAAACCAGAAGGTGTTGAAAAAAGAAGTTTTTAATGGGAGTGAAAATCATAGAAATATTGTAAAATATTATATTTGTAATCAAATAGGCCAGTTTTTTTATGTATTTTCCCATTATAAGCCATGTATTTAAAAATGGAATGCAGAGATAACAGAGAGGGGTTGATGAGGGAGGCTTTGATTTTCCCTCAAGTAAAATTCCCTCTAACTTACATATCCACAACTAATATTGAACTTCTAAGTATAGCACTTAAAATTAATGACATAGAAATAGTGGACCAAATAGATACTGGGTCTGATTATTCTTCTATAAACTGCAACAAATAAAAAAAATAGCCTTCATTAGGTCCATTTGCTAACCTGGAATGAAGTAAAAATGAGTCTTGCTGATGGAATGACTATTTCTTAACCCTATGGACATTTAATGACTTTGGTAGCAAACGGTATTATACTGTTTAATGAAATAATGATGAATGATGGGCAGTGCTTCCATTTAAATGGCAATTAAAGTGAAAACTTAAGAGATATTATTGAAATACAACAATATTTTTAGTGATGTTGCTGAAACCATTAGTGAAAAATCAATATTTAGTAAATCACATCATTGTTTGTCCAATAAGGTAAGAGTACTTCATGAACAACTGGATGAAATGCTCCATTGTTTGTTCACTAAGTTAAGAGTACTTCATGAACAAGTGGATGAAATGCTCCATTGTTTGTCCATTAAGGTAAGAGTACTTCATGAACATGTAGATGAAATGCTCCCGTTGATCTATCTATACCAGCTCCTGATCAATCAATTGGTTCTGTTGATCTATCTATACACGCTCCTGATCAATCAATGGATCCTGTTGATCTATCTATACCAGTTCCTGATCAATTAATTAGTTCTGTTGATCTATCAAAACAAGCTCCTGATCAATCAATGGACCCTGTTTATCTATCTATAGCAATTCCTGATCAATTAATTGGTTCTGTTGATCTATCTATACCAGTTCCTGATCAATTAATTAGTTCTGTTGATCTATCAAAACAAGCTCCTGATCAATCAATGGACCCTGTTTATCTATCT